TCTTTGTCTCTTTTTTTCCTTAAACCTCGCCCCCCCACTTCAGGTACTGTTAACTGGAACGCCAAGGCAGGACCCCGGCATATTTGGCGCCCGAACAGGGACCTGAATATTGGGGATCAGGTGAAGGTCACCACGGAAAAAAGCGTGTACACGGGTAAGTGGTGAGCGGTGAGAAAAGACCGGGAGAGATAGTTAAAGATGGGTGCAGGAAATAGTAAACAATTGTACACCCATCTCCTACTGAACCTCCTCAAGGCCAGGGGAGCGAAGGTAGGAAAGCCCCAATTAGAAAGGTTTCTAGATTTTACAGAAAAAATTTGCCCCTGGTTCCCGGAGGAGGGGACCGTAAGTTTAAAAACATGGGACAGGGTAATAGCCAGCTACTGTTTACTCAAATGTTAAAAAAATATGTTAAAAGCTCGAGGAGCTAAAGCAAGTGAGAAACAGCTAAATAGATTTTTAGACTTTAGGGCCCTCTAAATAACTCTTTGGCAGCCACACTTCCTCTTCTGTATTCAACAATTTAATAAAAGTAAGTCTTAAAAGATTTCTCTAACTCTCAGTAACTTTCAAGGTCTTCCAGATAGCCTTAAATGTAAACAGCCTCCGCTTAAGGCTGAGTTAACTAAAAAGAAAAAAAACAGGCACTTTTAAACCCAAACGGCGGTCCCCCCCCACTCCTTATTACAGCCTCTTAAAGTTATAAGGACAAGCATAAGATCTTAGGTCCTCTCTACAATTGTTAATTCTGTTTATATATATAGTCTCTGATACTTGTCTATGTTTTATATGTTTTATAATATTTTTACCTCCAGAAGGTATTATTAATTTATAATAATTAACTAAAAATAAAAAAATAAACTCTTAATTAAGATAATAAAAATTAACTCAACTACTTCTCAGGATCACATAATTTAAATAAATAAATAAATAAATTTATTTAACTAAGACTAATTTCTTAGTTTTACCAAATTATATATAATAATAAAAGTTATTAAATATTTAATAGGTATTTTGAAATAACAAAATATCAAAATATCAATTATTAAATAGGTCTAAATTTGTCTATTTCTGGCTTCTTATCACAGAGGCATTAAGGGGTAAATTGAGATATATTAATATATCATATATTACATTACAAAAGCCTATGCTTTTCAAGGTTATAAAAAATATTCCTACCAAACAGCCTGACATCACCAAATAATGGGGGCTCTGGCAACTTTGCTTTAACTTCAGTAACAAAAAATTTCAATTAGATGGGTCATCTTAAATCTTTTAATAAATGCTCCGAACTCCTAGCAGATATTGATAAAAAAAAATGTAAAACCACCCAATATCTTAATCTTAGGTGTTTTAAAATATAAGGTTAAATATAAAAATCAGGTCAAGTGTGCTGGCTTTTGGATATTTTTGATTATAGGGTTAAGTTTAATTAATATTAGGTACTGTTAAGTATACAATGGTCAATTTTAAGGTTCATAAACTTTGTTTGACTGTATTTTTTAATGTGAATGGATGGCATTGGTTAACTTTGGATGTACTTGAGGTTAAGTATAGTCAACTGTAAGTATTTTTGTATTTTGAGGGTCAGTCAACAATACCCATCAATTTCTCAAAAATTAATAAAACAAAAAGGGGGAGACTATAGGTATTCCTTGGGTGCCAAGGATACCAACCTTAACTAAATCCATTTTTCAAATTTTGAGATTTCTAATTTTCAGTTTTTAAAATTTTTTACAACGTCTTTATAATGGGCAATTTTATCTAACAAGGACTAGATTCGGTCCTTGTGTGGGGGAAGGAATGTCTATGTTTCTTCCTAGGAACGCAGGACAAAAGAGAAAAGGACATGCTCACAACAGAACACAGACACTTCAATTTGGATTCCAGATCGTTTGGTCCAGGCTGGTGACTCCCTGGTCGGATGGAATGTTCGCCTTAATTTGTTAGGTGATTGTTCCGGGGGGAAGAAGATAAATTGACCTGTTCCTCAGTCATGTTCACCTTGTGGCAGAAAATTGGGACTTGACACCGGGGCTGTTCCGTGGAGAGACTGTCATGGGAACAGCCCTGCCCNAAGAATCAAATGTATGGTGATGGAAGAACTGACTCTGGGTGGTGAACACACAATGAGATATACAGATGATGTATTACAGAATTGTACACCTGAAATCTATGTAACTTGGCTAACAATTGTCACCCCAATAAACTAATTAAAAAACGACTTTTTTAGATTTAAATTAATATATTTGTCTGCTTTACCTTGAGGTACTAGGGTAGTAAATAGAAACAGTTAGAAAATAGAGTTTGTATCCATCAGTGACCTCATAAATTCTGAACTGGTTAAACATCATAATGGCAAGTGAGGAGTAGGCAAAAAACAAGATGGAAAAATTTACAGAAACAAAAAGCTAATATAAGCTTTGTAGAAAATGCAACAGGACCACTAATAAAACAAAACAGCATCTTCCCCAGACTCAGCTCTGCCTCCATGTCAGTAGACTCTGACTCCACATAAGTGACATGTCCAGACGAGCCAAAGGCTGCAGCACAAACACATTTTTGGCTCTCAACTGGATGCCTCCTCCCTGGTCTCAAGTCTCATCTCCTCCAGGCAGCCTTTTGACTGCTTTACCTAAATTGGAAACCTGACTATGCCACTCCCCTATTAAATAACACCCTTCACTGCCTCTGCATTGCCTAATAAATAACTCACCGGTTGCTTCACTTGGCTTATAGTCCCCCCACCATGACTGATTGCCTCTTCAGGACTCCCTCTTCCAGTAACGGTTCCTATGGCACAAGCCAGGCTGCTTCTCACTTCCTTTTCTTTGCTCATGCCAGTCCTCTGCTATGCAAGCCCTACTCTGACCTTTACACAGCTAACTTATTCATCATCAAGATCTAGTTTGGAAGTCTTCCCTGAGCCCTTCTCCAGATGGCCAGTGGCATATCTTTTTTACTGGATCTACCACATTACAATGACTGGTTTGTATGAGTGGTTCTTTTATGACACTGGGTTATTGAGGGCAGTGGCTATGTTTCATTCATTTTTAGAATCCCGAGTACCTAATACAGTCATCCGGTGAAAATTTGTGAGATAAAATAAAATTCCTTAAAGCAGTGAAGAAGGTTCAAGGCAATATTTTGTAGTGGTTCAGTGCACGAGTGCAATCTAAAGACTGGTTCTGTTATTTACTACCTGAGTAATTTCAAAGAAGTTTCCCATACACCAATGAAAACAAGCCTGGTAATACCCTCCTGATAGGGTTTGAGCGTAAATAAAGAGTAAATTAAATCAGGCATACAAAGCATTTAGTTCAGTTTAACCAAGCTGAGTTCTTCCTCCCCACTACATGCGCCTGTACTCCCAAATATCACTCCCAACACAGCTTGTGACAATAAGCAAATCCTGTTTACTGAAGACATGTTTAATTGCATGAATAGAGATAAAGGTCAACTCTTGATAAAAATCAAACTATGGTTCCATCCTGGAAGTACCCTGTTGCTTTCTTCTTTTCTTTTAGCAGCAGTATTTCTGAATTTCTTCAGCAAGCCACAGGCAGTGCAGGATGCGTTTCTTTTCAGCAGCCAGTTCCTTTTCAGAGAACTGGCCCAAGAGTTTCTGGACAAATATATTTTGGTCTTTCAGGAAAATATTCTTATTGACTCCTACGTTTGGCATATTCTCCAGGGACCCAGATTTAAAATGGAAGCTTAAATGTCTGTTTCGTTTTAGACCAGGCCCTTTCTCTTCAATCCATGTCAACGGGCTGCAAAAACAAACAAACAACACCCCCCTCCATAATGTTAGAGATTACACAGGAGCACAAATGGATGCTTGCTGCCACCTGAGCACCACCTGGTAACAGGTCCTCATTTTGCACCTATCTTCCCTGCAGTTGCTACTCACTGTGGTGGTTCAGGTGGCAACTCAAACTCCACCAGCCTCCCAAAGGTCATGGTTGATTGTTTCCAACTTTACTGCCAAACAGTCCTTTACTTAATTTTGCCATTGGCCAGGGGAATTAATTCAATGATTTTTGTGTGAACATTAATTTGTTATTCAGGAATTTTTACCCTGAGTCTCATGGATCCCTCTAGGGGACCCAGATATGGGCTACAAGCAATCCATGAACCATCTGAGATTGTGTGCAAGCTATTTCCATGTGGATGTGCATTTTTATGGGAAGGAGTTCTTAGAGTTCTTTCATCACATTCTCAAAGAACTCTATGACCCCCCAGCACATGCCAGAAAACACCAGACTCTTTCTGCTGATTAACAAAGCACCTGTTTCCATTTCAAATTTGCCCCCCAAGCACTCACAAAAATCTAAACTCCAAATAGGACAGACTCCACTTCTCTAAAGTCTCACCTTTCTCTTGGTTTGTCTTTTCTCTTTATAGTAGATAAGAGCTGTGTTATTTGCTTAATGAAAAACAGAGAAACCTCCTAAGCAGACTGAACTAAAGAAGTTTCATTGAATAATATGAGAGGAAAACTACAAAATCTGCTTTCTTTTATATATTCTAAAAACAAAACAGCATTAAGGACCTTTTAAATGAAAAAAAACCCTCTATAATTCTTTCACTATATAAAAGTATCTTCAGTTTGAGACAATCCTTTCATATATTGGTCTATATGTATGTAGCATGTAAATCATAAAGTATAAACAATTTTGATTATGCTACTTTTACTTATTTTAAAATATTTTTATTTTGTCTGCATAAAATGTATAATTGATTATATAATTTAATATTTTATTATTGCCAAATATTTAACCTCTTTTCCAATTTTAAACATGAATATCCTGTATTTAACATCTTCCCACATATATACAGTGTACTCCCCTTCTCAGAACAAAGTCCCAGGAATGAGATGATTTAGTGTTGGCCTCTGGCTACTTCTCTTGGCTTTCCCCTCCCTTTTCCTTTCCTACAAGGATGAGTCAGGGTCAAGGACAAGGCAATTTTGTTGGACTGTTGTGCTAGGTGATGGAGTTTTCAGTGTGAAAGGGGGAAGTATATAGTCCTGAGCATGTGTCAGGGTCTCTGACTTTCTCTTGTGTCCTGCCACCATTCCTCAGATTTCCTCTCTCCTCTCTCACTGGGCTACAGTAGGTCAGGCCAGGGGTGGAGAGTTTAGACCAGTGTAGCTAAGGAATTAAGGGAAACTACCCTTTGTTTGTTTGCTTGCTTGTTCTCTGCCTCTAGAGTGATGGGCCATAATAAGGCTTAAGATTTAGGTGTGGAGTTGCAGGAAAAGAACCCAAGCAAGTCACTTAAGATTTTTTTAGGTGTTGTAGGAAGTTTAGGGCTGCCTCCAACCTAGGGAAAGGAGCCCTCCCCTTTGGCTAACCTAGCTACCAAGACCTACACTAAGTGTGGAGGGAATGTTTAAGAGGAAAAGATCTGAAGTATATAAAGGGTGAGCCATTCCAATATCTATACAAGCAGGGAGACATCAGGAAAGGGTATTGGGAGTAACTTCCTCATTGTGTGGTCCTATATGCTAAAAACTTAGACAGTCACTGTTTCCTAATCATGTATTAAAGTGATGACATCAGCTGTTGGCACTTTACTGCCTACTGGATGAAGTTAGCTAAGGACGGGACCTGGTCTACTTGTGTTCGGGGCATGGACAGCACTTAACTCCAGACATCCTAACCAAAAACACAAGCTTGAATTCACAGACAGCTCTTCTGCTCATCCTCTCTGTGAAAACCTTCACTTGCAAATATTTGCATTCATCAACCTGGGCACTAACTACATGCAAAAATGCTTCTTACTTCTCACCTTCTACAGGAAGGTATTCAGCCACATCCATATCCCTAGTAACACAGTGTTGTGAGCCATGCAGGCTGGCTTTACTGTAGTATAACTTGTTTTGCTTCTTGCTC